TTTTTTTTTTTTTTTTTTTTTTTTTTGCGGGGTCCTTCCTGGGTCCTTGCACGGCCGGGCTGCCCGGGAAAACAAGGTTACCTGGGCGGGCCCGGCTGGTAGCCTAGGGTGTGATTTCGGTGGGATTCGAACTCGGGTCTTTCCTTCAACAGTTCATGCATTGGTTGTACCTACCAACAGTTCATAGGTGTACCAACTGAGCTAGGCCCATTGGTAAGACTCTTTCTTTCCCCTCGGTGATCATCTTCGTCTGTTCTTTATCCAGCGAGCGAGAAGGGCCATAGATTTCCCCCAGGGTTACCATCTTCACATTACATGGTCATTATCACTGTATTTCCTCCAATTTTCGGTCCAGATACAGTGGTGTTGGTGGGTGATAGTCTGCTTTGATTCTTGTCCCGGGTACCCTCGAGGGCAGTGGTTAGTGCCAACCTTGGGATAGCACCAGTTGCCGGACAGTGCTGCCCAATCGCAGCTGGGGTTAAAGTGGATTATTTCTTACAGTGTGTCATTGGTTAGGGGACTCTGCAGCCGCTGCAGAGGGTTCGGCCTCGTAATGAGTTGGTGAAACTCTGGTGAAACGGTATTCTGTCACAACCTCCGGTTTCTTGTCCTTTTTCTCCCTTTACTGAGCAGCTCTCAGTGACTATATATTTGCCTTTTGGCTGCTGTGCAAGTGGGTCCTTGTGACACACGGGGATGGGGGTAGCCAGCGCTCAACCTGTCATCCACGTGGCTGGCCTTGTACGTAAGAGGTGATGAACAGGTGGGGCTTTCCTTCCTTCCTCCTTTTCCTTTCCTTGTTTTGCTTTTTTCCGCCTTTGCGCTCCGATTCACAGTGTGACAATATATCGTCATAGAGAACTGTGTGGTGAACCGTAGGCAGAGAGGGAGAAGAGGAAACCGAATGAGGGGCTGAGGGGCTGTGGCTACATATCGTATGTATGTGTTTGCCAGTGGATCGGTTGACAGAACTCTGACGAAACGGGGTCTGTCAAAGCCCCCTGTTTCTTGTCCTTTTTTCCCTTTCTAAAAACTTTTACGGTTTTCTGGTCGGTTCTCTGTGACTCCGATATGGTCTTGTTGTCTGCTATTTTCTTCATTTGTTTCGAAATGTGCGCTCTCTTAGTTGATAGATGTGTGTGTGACAATATATATTCGGTCACACTCCGACAAAACAGTTTGTAGTCCTCTTTGCCCTCTCTGCCTACGTCTCATCGGGCAGGCAGTTCACTGTGACAATATAGTAATATATACAATATTGAGCCTCCTGACGAGTTGGTGAAACTCCGGCGAAATACTCTGTCACAACTGCTGGTTCGCTGTCCTCTTCTCCCTCTCTGCCTATGGTTCGTTCACCGGACTGTTCCCTATGACGACATAATATCGGATATGTATTGGATATGTATCGGATATGTATCGTCAAACAGAACAGTTACTGCCCGGAAATATATTATCTCTGTATATAAAACTATATATCAACAAAGAGAATGTGCACAGAATGCATGTTGCATCGGGTGTGGTAAATGCAGTATGAATAAACCTTCACTGTCTCTGTTTTTTTTTTTCCTTCTTCCTTTTACCTTTTCTGCCTATTCTGGTGGCCTGTGTGAACAGTTTTAGTCTGTTGAGTCTGGGACCTCTTTTTTTTTTTTTTTAGTTTGTCCTTGGGCGATATTGAAGTGACCTTGGCCTGGTGGGTGTTTGCGAAACACACATGCTTCAGTGCTCCATTCTCTTCTTTGTTTTTCGTTGGGACGCCTGCTGCTGTGTTCCTCTTTTTTTTTTCTTTTCAATTGGACATCTGCCTCATTGTTCTTATAGTACTGTTTTTTGGGAAAATGCATCGATGCTTCATTTGCTGTTATTGCAGGTTGTTGGATCGGATGAGGAGAATCTCATTCTGACTCGGCGAGTTCAGCACGATCTCTGGATGCATCAGCACCCAAGGAATTGCAGTGACCCCTCCGTGAAGTTCTTGATCATGGATTTTGGGCCTATTCAGTACTTTGGGACCGGTGCACAGCTCAACCGAATGATGGGTGCACTGGCAGTAGCAGTAAGCACAGGAAGAGTTCTAGTGACAGTCGGCTTCGACCGGGCTAACCACGATGGATGCAAAGGTGGGAAAGACGTGTATTCGTTTCTTTTTTGTTTTGTTTGTTTTGTTTCTCTTGTTTTGGTTTTGGAAACTGTTTTGTTTTGTTTTGTTTGTTTGTTTGTTTGTTTGTTTGTTTGTTTGTTGTTTGTTGTTTTGGTTATGAAAACTGTTTTGTTTTGTTTTGTTTGTTTGTTTGTTGCTTGTTGTTTTGTTTTTTGTTTTTTGTTCGTTATTTTGGTTTTGAAGAGGTTCTCGTGGACCTCGATCCATATCCATTCTGGGGAGTGTCAGTTTGGTTCCATTTCCCTCGGCAAGTCGCGAATGTTGTACAACATTTTAGCCCTCGCGCTTCCTCATGGACCTGGATCCATATTTGGCATGTGGGTTGGCATGCAGAGTGGGTGACACGATTTGGCATGTGGGTTGGACAGCACCATGCAGGACAAGTCGAACTATGGTACGCTGGGGGCAGCACGCTATTGTGTGGCATGGGTGATACTAAGTGGGAAGGGCGGCGCCATGTGAGGTTGGTCATACTACTAGTGGGCTTTGTGGTACCATGTGGTTCAGCTGATTCTATGTGGGTTGGTGGTAGTACGCTGGAAAAAAGGGGGGGGAGGGGGGGTGTCATAGTATCTGGACCGGATGACAGCACATGGACTGGTCAGTACAGTTTGGAGCAAGTGGGTGATGCTAGTAGGCTGGGTTGTACAACCTGCCGTACCCCTGCCCCCGCCCCCCTCAAAACAAAAGAAAAAACACAAAAAACAAGCCACAGTCAAGCCCATCAACCGAAGAGACACGAGCTCGAATTGAACAAAGAGAAGAACGAAAACAACTCTGAGGGCCAAACAGCAGTGCTTAGGAACGGAAGAAAACAAAAAAAAAAAAAAAAAAAAAAAAAAAAAAAAAAAAGATAGGGAAAACGTCCCGAAGGACATCCGTTACAATTGGAAGGATACAGAGAAAGAGAAGATTAGCATGGCCCCTGCGCAAGGACGCCACACATAAATTGTGAAAGGGTACAAATTCAAAAATAAATAAACATCAGAAGATACCTTTAAAAAGAAGAAGAAGAAGAAGAAGATAGGGAAAGGATGGAGCCCGTGTTAAAAAAAAAAAAAAAAAAGATAGGGAAAAAAAACTTTGAAGGAGAGAAAGCGCTGCCAACACTTACGTGACATCCAATATGCGACAGTGACACGACTTCACTGCTTTCATAGTCTCGCCGAAGCTTCCTAGAATGAACACAATGCTGTTTACACTCTCATCGACGCCCGCCAGATCAACGGCAATCTGCTCCATCACGGGAAACGCTCCTGGAAAATCTGAGTTCTCTTCATCTCTCGCCTGTGCATCGCCAATTACCCTGAGGAGAGGAAAATGAAATGTATATTAGAATCTAGTTATTTTAAGTTTTTAACTAATTTAGAATTATTGATTTTTTATAATTTCTTTACTTTATTTTTTTCAATTGGGGAAGGTAATCACAGATGCTCATCAAAATGGAAAAAAGTCTGGTCCATAAATTCCTGCCCAAAAAAAAAAAAAAAAAAAAAAAAAGGTAATCACATCACCAGTTCGGTTCCCTTTCCACCAGTAGCCCAGAACGAAGAGAAGGAGAAGCAGAAGAGATAGAGGAGAAGAAGAAGCAGAAGAGATAGAGAAGAAGAAGAAAAAGAAGAAGAAAAAGAAGAAGAAGAAGAAGAAGAAGAAGAAAGGGAGGATAGCAGAGAAGAAAAGGAAGAGGGCATGAGAGAGAGAGAAAAAGAGAGAGATCAGAGATGTTTGTTTTTTTTGCCCGCCCCTTGAGCGTTTGAAAATGAAGAGCAGTTTTCTGCTGTGGCACACATGGAAACGAAAAGCAAACTAAAAAAAAAGAAAAAAAGAGGCAAACTCTTTAGGGTTTCTACAGCGAACATAATCCGCTTGCATTGTAAAGTCCAGAATCCTTCAGTTCCATCAGTTCCGAATGGCTATGGAATAGACAGGCTACGACAAACCCTTTAGGGTTTAGGGTTTAAGGTTTAGGGTTAAGGAGAAGGTAGGGTAGGACCACCACTTCATTCAAGCCTCTTCCTTCTGATAGGCAGATTCCCCCTTCTTTTGGCTGGCAGCGCTGACAGCCATTTTGGTCCAGACGGCCCAACCCTCCGAAATTTCCGAATTGGCTTGATTTCGATCCTCATGTTTGCCTGTGCACTGTACTGCCGTTTAAGGAGGGTTTAGGGTTAAGGAGAGTTTAGTGTAAGTAGGGTTGATGGTTAACAAGGCCTTAGGGTTAAGGAGGGTTCAAGAAAAAAAAAAAAAAAAAGTAAAAAAGTTTAAGGAGGGTTAAGGGCTTAGGCCCTTTAGGGTCTAAGGTCTGGCTCCATGTGGATAGCAAAAGGACCGCCCGACACGCGCAATTTGTTGGAAGTCACAGAAGCGCCGGTGGAAAACCTGAGGAGCATATGCCTCTCACTTTCGCCAACCCCAGTCTTTGGCCAGCACCATTGTGGTCCTAACCTCTTGTATGCATCTCGAACCACCGTGTGGTTCCAAGCCCCTCGAACCACCGTGTGGTTCCAAGCCCCTCGACCACCATGTGGTTCCAAGCCCCTCGAACCACCTTGTGCTTCCAAGCCCCTCGAACCACCGTGGGCCC